CCCCTCCTCCCTCCCCCCAAAATATGCATACCCTCCTTGGAATGCCCCTTTTTTTCTGGCTCCTTCCTTTTACGGTTAACCTCAGGCCAAATAGCAAGCCCAATGGAGAGGGCAAGGGGGGCAAACCCTTCCCGAGGTTCTGCTGAAGTTGGGCTTCATTTGAGCAGAACGGTCTGTGTGGGCTGAGATGGCTCAGTATCGCCCCCTGCGGTGAAATGCCTGATCTTTGTTCTGGTGTCTGTACCTGATGGCGAGGTCGAGGTTGGAAACTGAGCAAGTTTGAGGGATGGATGGTCGGGTTTATTCTACTGCACTATAACACAACAGAGTTACGCTCCCTGGGCCATAGGCAACCGCGCATCATTTCAGCCTCAACACCAACAACAACCTTGCACTTATATAGCGTTGGCGGAGCCTGACTCCGAGGCGGTGGGGGTGTGGGGGGATGGGGGGGGAGGTGGCCATAAGCACGGTCGAACAGGAAAGTCTTAAGGCAGGATTTGAAAGAGTCAATCTATTTCGAGAAAATATCTTCAAACCCCACAAGAAGAGAAACAGATAGCAAAGAAGGTGAACGGGGTTGAAAGGAATCAACGAAAGTCAGGTCAAAGAGAAGAGCAGAACCCCTTCGAGGTAGGCATTCCCGGAAGAGAAGTGGCAGTGAATTATAGTTCTGATGAAAGCTCATCCAGCTGAAATGTTAATTCACTTTCCTGCGTGCCTCTCTATTTGTGTCTGATTAATGCACGCGTGCGCGTGTGTGTGTGTTTGTGTGAGTGAGTGTGTGTGTGCGCGTGCGAATGTGTGTGAGTGAGTGTGTGTGTGTGTGCGACTGCGTGTGTGAGAATGTGTGTGTGTGCAGGTGTGTGTGTGTGTGTTTGTGTGAGTGAGTGTGTGTGTGTGCGTGTGAATGTGTGTGAGTGAGTGTGTGTGTGTGTGTGTGTGTGTGACTGTGTGTGTGTGAGTGTGTGTGTGTGTGAGAGTGTGTGTGCAGAATAATTAATAGATTAATAAACCAGGGTTATCAAAGTTCTCACCAGCATTGACTAATAAGATCATTTCCAATGTATGTCACCTCTTTTAGCTTTTATTTAATGTTTGCACTCTGACATTGACTTCAGCTGGCGAACAATGTGCGTTACGTTCCTCATTCAATTCGTTTCTCTTGTTAGATCAGGAGAAGATTTACCCCTGTTTCCCCAAAGGAAAGCATTGTCCTACCTTAGTCCAGATTTGACCTTTGCGAAAACACTCTCTGGGGAGGAGGAATTTGCAATCATGTCATAACAGAATGGACATGATAATTATCAGATCCTGCCCTGGATAAGGATGTTATAACAAAGCCAATACGGACACCGAATTTTGTTCGAATTTGACTGAAGAATGAAACGGGCAGGAACTGGTTTATTTGAACAAAGGAGCCATCACTGTGCAGGATACTGACTTCACCGTTAAACTCTCGTGAGCATTTCAGGAATATTTTTTATCCTTGGGCTGGTTATTTTTAAAATTTATTTATTTATTTATTATTTTTTTTAGAGAGAGAGAGAGAGAGAGACTCAAGAATTACATTGATAATGTTCTTATTTGAGATGTCAGCAAAAACTTTGGGGTAATAATATTACTCGTACTGAGATCTAATATTTCTGTAATAATAAATCAACTGAAATTCAGCCATTGCATTTATTACTACACTGCAAGATTAATAAAACAGGGACTTAAAAAGACTGAAATAACACAAGGTTATAAAATCATGACACCTCTCTGCCTTATTTTCTCTTCTATTTTACATGAACCCTCATCAACACCTCTCTGTTTTGTACTTTATTAAGTGGACGTGATGAAACATGTTCTTCCAATCGTACTACCACGCCAGCTAAAGGCTAGCCAGGAAGTTGTAGCAATTTTAATTATGGTTTTAATGCATCTGACAAGTTGATTAACTGTTTCAATAATTCATGGAGTATTGAATTGTCAACGTTTTCAGCAGTTGCAGCTTCACTGTTTGCTCATCCGCTCTCTGTGTGTGTCTGAACGGAAGCGCTGTCCAGTGAACGGGATTAACCTGCCAGGTGCACACACACCTCCAGTCAATGGTGTCTACATGAACTCTGCTACCTGTATGGTTCTGCTCGGAGTCTCGATCAGACCAGTGTCAGGCTGCCCTGGACACAGGTTCTCAATAAAATACAACCAAAGCCCTTCGTGTCTACCTGTTGGGGCACGCACATCCACACCCATACCATAATTGGCAAGAAAATATCGTCTGTTGTGATCCCTTCTTGTGTAACTCACTGTACAGACATGCCAACAGTAATCCTAGCTATGTAATCCAATCTATTTTCATACATTAATATTGCAGTAACCCGGCTAATACACTAATATCAAGGGAGCTCTTAACTCATCCCTGTGTATGCAGTAAGCTCATAATACCCCTTGTTATACATTATCTACGTGCACTAATAGAACAGGAACCCTTTGCTAAAACTGTGCGGGCAACTTATCGTCAACCACAACATATCACAATGATAATCTAGACCTCTCACAGAGTTTGGCAAGGTGTTGTTTAATTTGATTTTGCTTCAAGGTGAATCCATTTTCAGTTAAATCTATTTTTTAAAGGCTTTGGAGGTTTCATTCAGCAACCTTCATTAATGTTTCATTCTAATTTGCAGGTATTAATATCAGATTACCTCCAACATGCAACTTAACAGGTTTTATCCTGTCCTAGTTTATTGCTACGTTCAAGTCAAGCCTTCCAATGAAGTAATTTTTCTACTTAGGAAAGTAATTTACTAAGTTACAAATTGGGAACTTGACCCTATAAAGTAATGCTGGGCAATAATGCAATGGTACGTAATATCTTGCGCAAGACAGAGAGTTAAACTAAACAAATTAGGACAAACCAAAGCAATGTGTCTCATTCACAGAGAATCCTGAATAGATGGCTTTAGCTTTTAGTACCGAAGGAAACAGAGATGGTAAAGCAGCTGGAATGAAGTGACCGTGTGATTTTTACAGCAAATTAATGTGAAACATTTTAATGGCACTGCCAGACCTCTGATGACAGGAAGATCATAGACAATAAGGTCCCTAAATTCTGTTCACAGGCCAAACTATTTTCTTTGTTGAAGGAATAATGCTGTCAGAGATTCCAGAGGTGTAGGTATACTTGTGAGCGCCGTATAAGTTGACATTGTTATTGCTGATTTGATAATTGAACGAGTGCTTTTATGCGTTTTATTCTACATTCTTGCTGCAAAACTTGATGGGATTTTGCTGTGGGTGCAATCAGGTATTACCTTATGCCAGATCCTCTGTCTCCAATGTTCTTCCTAGTCATGGATCATCATCTTGGCTCTTGCCAACCTGCGCCTCATACTATCTGGAATTAGGTAAGCAGGAGGCGTCCCTCCAGGGAGAGAGAGAGAGAGAGAGAGAGAGAGAGCGCATTCCATTCCAACAATCTATCTCTGTGATTTCCATGTGTAGGTGGGCTCCATGGAAATCTCAGCTTGGTTTGGAGACTCTTAAGCAGCGGTGATGGGCTTCTGCATGTGTCAGACACCCGGCTGGCTGGCCAACACAAAGGGTTTCAGCCATCCCCTCCCCTCACTTCAAACCCATATCATCTCTCGGCCATTCTGAATGGCAGTGGATTGAGAAAGATTAGAAGAGTCACGTGTTGAGCCTAGGATTTCAGCATGTGCATGTGTAATACCATTGAGAATACTACGAATCATCTCAACATTCATGGAATGGAATCCTTTCTATTGAGGTTAGACAAGTGCATTATATATAGCTGCACATATCCAAGGCAAATTAGCTATGGCAAAATACTTGTTGTGTTGCTAACTGCTCATGTTGTCCATTTGGGAAGCATTTGTACCAGCCTTAAATGAATGAGTGAAAAATACAAAAACATTTTTCGTTGAATGATAAAGGTGCAAAATGACTGTTGGGTGCAGAATAACCTCATCTTGGATTTCTGTAAGAGGACAGCCCTGATGAGAGCTGCACTTTTCTAACATCGACCAAATGGGTACAGAGTGGAATTGTTGCTAAGTACACTGTTCTTTCACTTCTGGCATCTACGTTCAAATCCAACACAGAACAAGAGGATGAAAGTCTACTGTCTTTGGCAGCTGTAATGGTTATAAAAGAAATGAGCTTTGACAGTCCCAAATCAGTTCCAAGTAAGCATGAGTCCACAGCACAGAATTATCCATGATAAGGCATACATTTGGCACCGAGTTGTCAATCTCACTTAGATAAACCATAATATAATATGATAATAACAATAATAATAATCCTTGCATTTGATGGAGCTCCTTATCACGTCTTCAAGATGTCTCAAAGCGCTTCATGGGAAATACTGTAAAGTAAATTGACTGTGTTTTATGGGTGAAAGTGCCCCACAAACAGTCGGGGATTGAATGACCAAATTATTATTATTTATTTATTTTTATTTATTTGAAGGGAATATCGCACCCAGAAAAATGATTCGCTAATTGACTGACAACCAGGTTCCTACTTACTGCTGGGTAAACAGAGGCGTTTGGAGCAAGGAAACTTGCCCAACATTTCGCCTTGTCCGCATATCGAACCCAGGTCCTCTCGCTTATGAGGCGAGTGCTCTAACCACTGAGCTACAGGTCTTAAACCATGAGGTTTAAGGGTGGAAAAATAGAAGAATCACATTGATGTGGTGGTGGGTTTCTGAGGTCAGCATTGGGAATTGGGTGCAAGCAGAGAATTTCCAGACAAATTCACCAAACCCTAAAAATAGGGAACAACGGAAAACTACAAAGAAAGGAGAGTTTAACAGGTTAATCTAAAGATTGGGTAAGTAGCACTACGGAAAAAAGTTAGACAAATATTGTTGCGCAACATCTTTTTAGGTTATTCATTAATGTTTAAAGGCCCAGAGTTATCTGTAATTAGTTCTGATTCAGCTGCATGTACTGTCCTGAAAATGACTCACTCTGGGACTGCCTGTATTGATTGAAGTCTAACATTTAATGGTATGATACAGAAAACATATGAGCGCACAAGGCAATGTCTTGCCAAAGGCTGAGAGACTGACTGCTACTCTCTATACTGTATTTTCTGACAGATTTCTCAAAGTTTTACATTCCTGTTTGACTGTTGGACACTGCTTATTTAACTTGAAATTGCTTCACACCTTTTGTTTGTGTGAGACGAAGTACCTTGCCAACAAACTACTAAAGGAAGCTCACTAGCCTTTGATTTTACCTTGATAAGGCACATTTTATCTTACCAGTTTTGGTATGTGGCACTCGAATTGCATTGCTATTCCAGGCAACAACCCCCTGCTTTTGTATTTTAAAAGGAAATGTGTGCATCTCACGGTAACTAGCTTCAGCTCTAGCTATTTCAAGGGATCAATCAATGTCACAGCTTTTCTCAAAAACTCATAGCAATCTCCAATCGTCCGACCTGCAATATTGCAAACTCCGCAGTGTTGGTTACTCCCATTTGGACTCCTGCTTCCCGCCATTGGTTCCTTCTGCATGTGTGACACATCAAGCTGGCATTTTACCGATTCCTGATGCGAATTTCCTGCAGATTGAAAACTAGAAATCAGCAGTCTATCCCTGTGTTGGACAGGTTGTTAAATATACCCCCAGGTCACAAAGTGACTTAGGTAAACCTGCCCTCCCTCCTTCCCATAACCCCTACCCCTTCACCTAACCGAAGCCTTTTTTTTTGCCCTACGCTGAGCAATAGCATTCTGTTGGGAGGGTTTCCTGAACATCCTGACCTGAACTGAATCTGATCTCATCTGGGTTAAAAGTAACAACAGGGTAGCTATCTGTTGTGAAAAGATAAGCTGGAGGATCTGGATGTATAGATGAGGGAGACAGGGACAGAAAGGTCTCTTATCAGGAGAGGAAGGTTTGAGGGGCAAAGATGAAAGTTGCAGGAAACTTCAAAAGGAAGTCAATTTCTTTGGTCCCAGTTTATGGTACATACAGCAAGAAAATTACACTCGTATAGCAGCCTTCCCATTGGAAAGACATCCCAGGGCGCTGGGGACATGTTCAATGTTCCCAAAAAAGCCTCGCAAGGATATAACAAAGAAACTCCCAAATTCCATGATTATTTCACTGGTGTAAAAATGGCAGACAACTTTTCTGTTTATGATCTGAGAAAGAGGTTTCATAGTGTGTAAATGTGTGTGGTCTGACAGTGGTTTGCATGCAGGCCAAGTCTCACTGATTTCCAATGATTCACACTGCTGTTTGGGCTGTTCCCACTGAAACCATCCCAAAACTGACAGATTGTTTAATTTGTAAATGATGCAGTCTGTGCGTTGATGACAAACACAGGACTGGTTTGGTAATTTTGTATTTCACCACAACAAACACAGAATCATCCCTAATTACTGGCAATTATATTCCTTCTGCAAAAAAAATCTTCAATCAGTAAGGTGGCTGGTTTTAGCATCTCATTGGCACAGTTGTTTTTGTGGCTGAAAAGTTTACGAGTTTTAGGGGGGGACCTTGAAAGAGCTTGAATCAGTAGGTGAAAATTTCCTAGGTCACTCATTACGTTCATTAAATCACTGGCCAACCAATTTAGTCGATTTACTGATCATGGGCTGAATTAGGAATTTGCCTATCCAAGTGATACCTGGCGCTTGTAACCGTTTGAGTTCCTAGTCAGGGAAAGGCATTGTGAAGTTATTAAATGCCTTGCTTCATAATGAGAGGGCCTTCATTTGTATACAGTAACACAGGGAATGTACCCAAAAGGAGATGAAATAACATACGGAAAGCTATCACAAAGCCACTTTGCACGTCAACTGGAGAATGTAAATATCAACTTAATGTATTAAGTCGCTACCATGAAGGGGGAATGTGAGGATTAGTCGGATTCCGATAAGAGAGGATGGGCCTGAAAACTCTTTCCTGTGAATATGGTCCGATGTGGAGAACCATATGCTTGGGGGGGTGGTCCCTAAGTTACGCTTCACCTTTTCTATCTTCTGATAATACATCAGCTACAATAGGAATACATAGCATTGCCATTGCCTGATGCAAACTTCTCTGTACACTGCACACACAGTTTGCAGACTTTTACGCCTACTCAGACCATGATTAAATACCCCATGTTCCATAAGCCTCAGAAGCAGGAGAGAATTATAGATTTCCGGCTTACTAGGTTTCCAGCATCAATTAAGTGCCTTAATTGCTTTTTTCAACAATGTATTTGGAAACTGCTGTTAGCCTCTCGTACCGCAAGGTGGAAAATTGCGAGTTTTACTTGAAATGGATGAAATGCCAGACTCCAATTTATCTCTGGTCGCTGTTTATTCTTACAATTTACAGGACAGGAGCAAAGCAGCCTCCAGTGTTTGCTCCATCGCCCCATAATCTCACTGAAGTGCATTTCTGCAACTTGGCAACTTTGGGGTGGAACTGTATTTCAGTGAAGGTCAACTTCCTGCACTCCTGGAGCTGTGTGTTTCCTGGGGGAATATTCTGCGGTTGGATAAGAGGGCTGGTCGCAGTGTCTTTGTGACACAGCCAGGCCATCTGTACTTGTCATTGAGACACCCCCATCGGTATTTCTTTTTGCAATCTGGTACTGGCACCAGGGATGCACAATATGCTTAACTATTTTACTTAAATTTGCCACACAATTACACAGTCACTCCACTTTACGGTATATTCCGCGAAGCGCTTTGAGGCATCTCGACGACGTGATGAGGCGCTGTGTCAAATGCAAGGATGATTACTTATGATTATTGCTATTGTTGTTGTTACAAGAGGTTGTGCTATTTATTCACATTGCAGTTCCGAGTTTAAGATCTCCCCCAAAACCCTCCAGACCTGAGAGATGGGGTGGGGGCCGAGCAGGAGATTAACAGCCCATAAAACACCTGACGTGAATTTTCTTGCTGCAGATTTCTGATGGGAATCGAACATAGGGAATAAACAAATGAATGAATGAAATGAAATGAAATGAATGAATGAATGAATGTACATCTTTTCCTTTACCAGAGAGAACTGACTCGAGGCGGAGCTCTGTCGCTAATCTGTTAAAATGCAGTTTTTCAAGCAATTTGCACCTTATTTCGTGTCTTTTTTTTCATAATTTTTAGGGTCGGGAGAGAGAAAAAAAAGCTGAGCTTTTAGGGGAAGAGGCGGTAGTAAAGAGATGTAAATTCCCCCACCCTCGGCCCTTTTTATTGCACTAGTTTCGAATTTATTGCTGTTTAATTCTCAGGTTTATACCAATGTGGATCCGCACTTTTTTTGGTTACAGTCCTCAGTCAGCATTGGGGGTGACATCTGAGTTAAGGGATTTGATTAAGTAGCCTCTCAACATCATGTTCCATCATGAACACAATTTTGATTTCCACGTTTGATGGCAACATTCATACATCTACATATAATATATAATTAAAAAAAGAGACTTGTAACCGGATTCGTTTTAGTTTTAATTTCAATTCAGTCCAAATTAGAATTATACTGCAGTTGACAAGAGGGTAATAATAATACCTGGGAAGAGGGAACATGACTTTTAGATGCAATGAATGCAGAAACAAATCCTCTGATGATGTGTGTATGTGTGTGTGTGGGAGTGTGTGAGTGTGTAAGTGAAATGAACGGTTTCAAAAAAAAACCCCAAACGACGGCTGGAGTTTAAAATTTTAAGTGAAAACAAAATAAGTTTTGCAGTTTTTTTTTAAAAAAAAGGTCGAACGCTTTCCTGGTCCCATTATTTCGCGAGACCCCCCAATGTAGGGGTTGTGAGCTCCTCGTCAAACAACTCTTAGCTTTCGCTGGAGTCACAGAAGCTTTTGAATGTGGTCATTCAATTGCCCCCCTCCCCCTCCACCCCCCCCACCCCACACACACACACAGAGAAAAATAAAACAGGGTTACATTAACCAGCACCTGACTTGAACTGGCCCTGGAGAGAGAGAGACAGGGAGAGGGGGAGAGAGAGGGAGAGAGAGAGCAATGCACCTGTATAAAAATCCCATTCATTATTAAATATGATCATCTCCCACAGAACACACACAGCACACCCTCCAGCTGAGCAGGCGTTTCAGCTCTCACTTTGCCCCCCTCTCCCTCTCCCTCTCCTTCTCTCTCTCCCTCTCCTTCTCTCTCTTTCTCTCATTCCGCATCTTTCCTCGTGTCTGTGCCTACCTTTGCTTTGCTTTATCTATCCCTCAGTCTCTCTCCCTCTCCTTATCTTCCTATCTTCTTCTCTCTTTCCTCCCTCCCTCCCTCCCTCCCTCTTTTCTTTCCCCCCTCTCTCTCTCACCCCCCCCCCCCTCCGCCCCCCATTCCTGCTCCTTATCCAGTTTTCCCCTTTTTTTTCATACTTCCTTCATAAAAGGAATCAGTCGCCGTTTAATGTCAGCGTTGCCTCTCTCGGTGCTGTACAGAACAGAGCAGAACAGGCGCGCGGTTTGGGTCCGTTGTCTCTTTTTTTTTGTTGCTTTTTTTTATGATATAAAAACATAATCTTGAAGGGGAACTAAAGAAAAGACCCAAACGTTCGCGTAAAATTTAAGCAGAGACGCACACACACACACACACACACACACAAACTGTGTATCATATAAATGTTTCTTGCAGTTGATTTGAAGGGTGTATTCACTGTGTTATGGAGTTAAAACTCTCCTCTCTTGTCCTCGGATTGCAAGTTTAGCGACAATACCAGTTTTTTTAATTGATAAGAGGGCTTTTTTTTTACCCGTAAAGAGAGGCGAGAGAGAGAGAGAGTGTGTGTGTGTGTGTGTGTGTGTGCAAAAAACAACAGGTGATAGGAAGACAATGTTTTGGAAGGGGTTAAACGTGTAATGGGACAAGGGTTTCTCACTTAGATACCCTGGGAAAGCTTCTGGAATGTGCATTCCTGGTGTCTCAATTGCCTGGGAATATTTGGTCTTATTTATTAAACGTTAGTATTAAAGTGTGGACACCGATTGACTGTCCACACACACACTCACACACACACACACACACACACACAGATTGACAACAGAAACGCTTTGATTTCTCTCGTCTGTTTCTGTCTGTTTGGTGGGAAACCAGTTAGTTACCAGACAGAAATATGGTGTGTAAAAAAAGACCTGGTGGGACGCTTTATACCCAGGCTGTTTAATATGGGATGTGTTCAGTAAACTCCGAGAAAGAGAGAGCCAGAATTGGGTGTTTTATGTATGTGAAGCGTGTGTGTGTGTGTGTGTATGTGTATGTGTGTGTGTGTGTGTGTGGGGTGTGGGGGGGGCGTCTTAGTGTGTAAGTGCTTTGCTTGTGTGCAGGTCTGAGTGATGTAAATGCTTGGGGAGAGAGGAGTGGGGGGGGGGGGGGGGGGGGGTTGATTTGATACTGAGTTCATCATCTCGAGTCTGCCTGTGTTTGTGTTCGTTAACGTTCCCGTGTATCAGTGGTATATCTGTGTGTGCATATACATATATAACATACATATACATATCCACTATTTTGCTTGTACAATGAGTTCGAGTGAGTCACTCATTACTTCTCAGCATTGAGAGATAAGAGAAAGTGAAACAGAGATAGATAGATAGAGAGAGAGAGAAGAGAGACAGGAGAGAGGAGAGAGAGAGAGAGCTCACACGCACACTCACAGCTCTGGTCCAGGCGTCTGACTCCATATACACAACGGAGGGGCCCTCCCTTATTAAACAGCCCCTCTCGTCAAGGAACCTGCGGATTACTTCTATTTGGGTCAGTCTCGTCTCCAATCAATCTCCAATGGTCTCTAAACAAACCAGGCATTTCAAGATCATTTAATGCACAAACAATGCCTTGGCATTCTGTCCTGAAATAGCCCCCCCGCCCACCCCCCGAATGCCTTAATTTAACCCGGACTAAATCTACCTGTCGATTTATGTATCTTTCATGCGTTTATCTTCTCCAGATCATCCAAATCCTTCCCACCTTTACGCCTTTTATTTAATCCCCTTAACCTTGTTTGTCCGGGACCTTATGTTTAGCCAAAGACTTTAAGGACAAGGAGAAATGTTATTCGCGTTGCAAAACATAAGAGTCCAATAATTAATTTCCCCCAAGAGTTTTGCCTCTAATCACTGCTTGTCTCGTCTGGGTGATATATGTACATATGAAGGCATCCTATATATTTATTGGGCTATATATATATATACATTTAAATCGATGGCAACTGATTTAGACACAGTAATCCATCCCAACCAGTACACACACTGAAACACACACCCATGGATGGACACAGATGTGCATCCACAAACGCACTCACCCACACACATCTGTGGACGCCCCCATATAAGTGTGTGTTTGCAGAAGCACAAGTTTTAAACCTTAAATGTTTGTGTGTGTGTGTTCTGTGTGTGGGATAAGTAGAAATAGGCATAGAGGCAAGGAATGTACCGGACAGAGGTTCACTCCGGGCTCAGTGCGCACTGCCTGGAGAGGGAATTAAATACCTTTAAGATGCATTAAGACAAAACAGTTCGGAAAATCTATAATCCGGGGGGAGTGGTGGTGGTGGGGGCGGTGGGGTGTGTGTGTGTGGGGGGGGAGAGATTATCTTCAATTTGCGTCACATCATAACGCACTCTCTCTAAATCCAGGTGCGATAGGATAGGTCGCTCCTTATGAAGATGGATCCCATATTATTTTTTTTAATCTCTCATCTAACTTCTCTGTGGGACAAGAGGGAGATTAAACTCACAGATACATTCCTTTCCAAACCGGACGATGGTAGCCGAGGATAATATCGATTACGTTCGTTTTCTCTCCCCCCCCCCCCCCACAAACCACCAATATATAATAATCCTTGCATTTTTAATATATATATACACAGCGCCTCATCACGTCTTCGAGACGTCTCAGAGCGCTGTACAGGATATAATGTAAAGTGAATTGGCCGTATATTTTATGGGCGAAACGCAATACATAGAGGCAATATATATATGTATGTATATATATATATATATGAAGTTAGTTTGATGAACGTTTTAAATCCGTTTTATTATACAAGAGTGGATGTACCAGGTTTAGTCAGATCGTTGAAAATGATGTGGACAATTATACGGAGTAAAGACACTATTATTTGATTATTCAAGCGACCGATAGTTTATCTGTGAAGCTGAAACTTTAGCTCAGAGAGCACAACACACAGAAAAAACACCAAATCGTGTTTTATTCTTTGACGTCCTATGTATGATAAATCGATACGGTGGAGATATACAAACAGGTTTATACATTTATACACATTTTTCCAGCCTTTTGTTTTGGGGGGGGGGGGGGGGGTGGGCAAAAAAAGTGCTCAAAGATGCTTAAAGACAGAGAGAGAGAGAGAGAGAGAGATAAAGAGAGAATAATCATTGCATATCACACACACACTATCAGAGCACGACTGGCCCTTGAAACAAACCATGCACAGACTCGATGAATGCTCCATATATTATTTAAAATTCCTAGTAAAATCGGGGATGTGCATGTGTTTCTTTTTCCGGATAAGTTATTTTAAAAAATGGAGGCGAATGTAATAACTTCTGTCGTCCAAAAAAAAGCACATCGATTGATAAGGGATGCGAGACAGGCTGTAAATAGCAAACAAATGGATCCGAATGCTCTTTTTTTATATTGATAATTTTATTGATATTGGTAACTTCAGCAGTTTAGCCCTCGAGACAGACCCTGTGTTTCTGACCAGTCAGAGAATGGGACATTCATTCATTCACTATTTTAAAACTAGTGCATTACATATCCTTTTCAGATGTAGGTCCATTATTTTATTTATTTGGGGTGGGGGGTGGGGGGTGGGGGGGGGTGGGGTTGGGGGAGTACATATTTATTTTTGAACTATTATTTGAAATTGTGTTTCTTTTTGGTGATGTTGTTGTGGACGAGATTTTTTTTAATACAAAAAATATCTATTATCCACTGCGCGGTATTTTTTTTAAAAAAACAATTCTGTTTTTTTTTAAATTTATTTATTCCATTTTTTTTTAAAATAAGAAACGTTGCAGTGTTTTAACGTTTTACAATTTGCTCAGCGCCTCGCCGGTTGATGGAAGATAAATATTTGGAATTAAAGCAGCAGCAGATGTATATGGACTGAGGCGTCTTGTTCCTCATGCAGGTTGCAAATTGAAATGATGCACAAAACGCATTGCACCTACACCAAAATCTGTTATAATCTCCCCCTAACTCCCTCCCCCTCCCCCCCATCTTCCTTTTGCACAATTCACAAGGGTAATAAGTTAAAGGCACACATGCCCACCCACCCCTCTCTCACTCTCTCTCTCTCCAGCAACTTGAGAGCAAATTCCAGCCCGAAAGAGAGACAATCTGCAATCCACCCATTAAATCTCCCCATCGCCCAATAAACCTCACCATTCGATTTGTATATCGCACAGGAACATCGACATATCAAATAATGGATGGGAAAGGTAGCCGGGTGGATAGAGAGAGAGAGAGAGAGAGAGAGAGAGATAGAGAGCTACATAGAGATAGAGAGAGAGAGAGGTAGATATGGAGACACACACACACACACACGAGAGAGAGTGAGATAAAGAGATAGATAAAAATGTTTCGCCCACAAAATATACAGTCACTCCTCTTGACAGTATATTCTGTGAAGCGCTTTGAGACGCCTCCAAGACGTGATGAGGCGCTATATCAAACGCAATGATCAATTATTTGTTTATCTATCCATCTATTTATTTGTTTGTTGGTTGGTTTATTATAAATGCCGACAGAAGGATTGGGGCTATAGTCGCACTTTCATAACATATTGATGGGTACCTGGTTTGCGTGTAATCACATGTGGCTTCAATAGTTGAATGGTGGTACAAGGGACACATGTTTGTGGTACAGGAGGCATGTAGTCCACTTTGGGAACAGTGGACGGATCTGTGCAGAACAAGTAGCTGGGTGTGTTGAGATAGGCAGGAGAAAAGGAAAGACAGAAAACAGACCACATTTAAGTGCCTAGCAATAGTCCTGAAAGCCAGTGAGCATTGCATTTGGTTCAAACCCAGTCCAAAGCACTGGGTTATCGTGGCACTGCTCTTCTGTCCCCTATCAGAAGCGAGTCAGAGAATTATCAGTCAGATTTCTAGGAGGATGATAACATTCCTCGCTCTGTCTCTTCCTTCCTTTCTGCTCGGGCTCTCTCCTTTTTTATTCCCCCCCCTCGTTCTGTTCTGTTCTGTTCTGACTTTCTTTCCCTTGTGCTCTGATCTGAACACTTGGGGTCGCACTTTGTAGAGCTATTTTTTTCCCCCAAAAGATCCCAGCTCCAGCCAGACACACTGAGCCATGCTATGTGTTTCTTGCTCTGCGTGCAAGCGCGGTTTATTGTTTATTTGCGTATTTATTTGTGTGTTTATTTGTATTTATTTATTTGTTTATTTATTTATTTGTGCATTTATTTATTTATCTATCGATTGATCAGGCAACTATTGTGTTCTCCTTTTGTCTGTGCGTGTGTCTGTGCATTTGTTTCTATTACAATTAAATATTGCGTAAAAAGGGGTCAATCTTACTTTGGAAAAGAGCCAGTGTTTTTTTTAAAAAAAAACGGAGAGGTATAAAAATAGCCTTGATTCCAGTTGGTACAAATTGACTATTTTTTCTTCTCTCTCCTGAGGAGCAATGCAGAGTACAGTATATTTATATTGTGGTTTGTGTAATGGTGCTGTACGCGAGGGAGGGAGGGAGGGAGGGAGGGAGAGTAACTGGACAACTGTAGGGTTTAAGTAGTTAATTGGAATCCATAAAGCCGTTGAGTTACCTTCGCAGAATGTGTCGTTTTCGACCCTTTTGTACTGAACAACTTTTTTGAATACCCCACACCCTCCCTTTTTCTTTCTTTCTTTCTTTCTTTCTTTCTTTCTTTCTTTCTTTCTTTCTTTCTTTCTTTCTTTCTTTCTTTCTTTCTTTCTTTCTTTCTTTCTTTCTTTCTTTCTTTCTTTCTTTCTCGCCACTATTTCTCTCCCTCTCTCTCTCTCTCTCGTAGAACAAATAACGCACTTGGCTTCGGGATAGTAAGTCAGTAAACACATCGACCATCATCAATCTCCTCTATGTCACTTTTGTCTGGATTCAAATGCAGTGTCAGTGTCCTGTTCTGGAGATAATTCTCCCCCACCCACCCAACCCCCCCCCCCCCACACACACACACACACACAAGTTATCAACAGGGACAAGTATTGAGTTCAGGATCGTGGAGATTGGAGTTTAACACTAACGCAACCGCGAGAGTGTGAAACAGGGAATGAAAAAAACAGAGAAAGAGCGTAAAACTATCAGAAGGAAATCGTGAAAGCAAGAGAGAGTGTGGAGGGAAGGGAAGGGAAATGCAGTGTGGATGGGAATGGGAGAGGGAGAGAGAGAGAGAAATAGTGTGCGAGTAAAGGAGTGCGCGCAACAGAGACGAGCGAGAGAAAGAGAAGAAATAGATAGAAAGTGCCAAAGAAAAGAGAATGAAATAAAGTGTCTTGAAGGAGGAAAATCAATGCAGCGAAATGAAATGCGTGTGTGCAAAGTGAAAACAGAGAGCAGAGGAGATAAAAACAACCAGAAGCGGTGGCAATGGTAAGTGTATGCATGTTATGTATGTATGTATGTATGTATGTGTGTGTGTGTATGTATGTATGTATGCATGCATGTATGTATGTATGTAAGTGCACGCGTGTGTGCATGTGTGTATGGGGTGGGCAATGGGCGAGAGGGTGGGGGGATGTGTGTGTGTGAGAGAGAGATACCGTGTGTGAGTGCGTGAAAGTGAGTGTGCCAGAGATACGGTGAGTGTGAGCGAGTGTGTGAGAGAGTGCGAGGGAGAGTGCGAGTGTGAGATATAGCAATGTGTGTGTGTGTGTGTGTGAGAGAGAGAGGGAGAGAGTGTGAGTGTGAGAGGGAGTGTGTGTGTGTAAGTGTGAGACAGAGGGAGAGTGTGTGAGAGGGAGAGTGTGAGAGGGAGTGTGTGAGTGTGAGAGAGGGAGTGTGAGAGGGAGGGAGAGTGTGTGAGTGTGTGTGAGAGGGAGGGAGAGTGTGAGAGGGAGTGTGTGAGTGTGAGAGAGAGGGAGTGTGTGAGAGAGGGGGAGTGTGAGAGTGTGTGTGAGAGGGAGAGTGTGAGAGTGTGTGTGAGAGGGAGGGAGAGTGTGTGAGTGTGAGAGAGAGGGAGTGTGAGAGGGAGGGAGAGTGTGTGAGTGTGTGAGAGAGAGTGAGTGTGTGAGAGGGAGGGGAGTGTGTGTGAGTGTGTGAGAGAGGGAGTGTGTGTGAGTGTGTGAGAGAGAGGGAGTGTGTGTGAGAGAGTGTGTGAGAGAGAGGGAGTGTGTGTGAGTGTGAGAGAGAGGGAGTGTGTGAGAGAGAGGGAGTGTGTGAGAGGGAGAGTGTGTGAGTGTGTGAGAGAGGGGGAGTGTGAGAGTGTGTGTGAGAGGGAGAGTGTGTGAGTGTGAGAGAGGGAGTGTGTGTGAGAGAGGGAGGGAGGGAGGGAGGGAGAGAGAGAGAGAGGGAGAGCCCAGCTGATTATCAGCTGATTGGCTCTAATTGTCAAACTCCGACTCACTCGGGTCCTGTCCACCGATTTATGCAAATCCTGGTGTGTGGAGCCACCGATTGGAAGCGGACACAGGGAGCTCCGCCTGTCTGGGGAGTGACGCTGGGCTGTGGGGGGGGGTGGGAGGGGGTGGGGGGTTGTGGGTGGGGGTATATACTGTAAAAGCATGAGATCTGCAATCTGTACTAAAAGCTGTACTGATCAGCGGCAGATTGGCTGCGAGATTGTGCGAGTGTTATATCTCTCTCTCTGTATATATATATACACACACACACCGATCTCTCTCTCTCACATATATATATATATATATATGTGTGCATGTGTGCGTGTGTATGTGTGTGTGTGTGTTTCCTTTTGCACACACATACACCGACCGGAGACACAAGACAGTGACACAGACTGAGACAAGACACCGAGACGAGAGAGAGAGAGAGACACACACACACAGAGAGAGTGTGAGAGAGGGAGAGAGAAGGCACAGAGGAGGAGGAGGAGGAGGACGCGGACCAGACCAGAGCTGAGCTGAGCAGAGCAGAGCCAGGCTGAGCAGAGCCAGGCTGAGCAGAGCAGAGCTGAGCCAGGCTGAGCAGAGCCAGGCTGAGCAGAGCAGAGCTGAGCCAGGCTGAGCAGAGCCAGGCTGAGCAGAGCAGAGCCAGGCTGAGCAGAGCCAGGCTGAGCAGAGCCAGGCTGAGCAGAGCCAGGCTGAGCAGAGCAGAGCTGAGCCAGGCTGAGGAAGAGAGGCGATCTTGGCTTCTTTGCTTTCTCCCCGTTGCCTTCATCCACTTTTGCAACTCAAGCTCCGTCCAGGAGGACTTACAACTGCAACCGACCAAACCGACCAACCCCCCCCCCCTCCCCCCTCCTTCCCTCTCCCCCTGTTTTTTTCCCCCCACCCCCCACCCCTGGTTTTTTCGCTCTCTCTCTCCTGTGGTCTCCCAGTCCCGGGTTTTAATGCCCCGGCAGTTTGCTAAGGGGAGACTTACCTTTTCCACAAGCGGAAGAACAGAGTCGACTGCTCACATCCACTGCACTGTCTCTCGCTCTCTTTCTCTCTCTCCCAACAAGTTTCACTCGCTCAAGAGGTCCGGAGGAGAGGAGAGAAGAGAGGAGGAACAGGAGAGAGAGGAGAGAAGAGAGGAGGAGGAGGAGAAGAAGAAGAGAAGAGAGGAGAGGAGAAGAAGAGAGGAGAGAGGAGCAACCCACCCAACCCAAACAAGAAGGTTTCTTTTTTTGTTGTTTTAATCCTCTTCTCTCCTTTTTTTTTGTGTGATCATTAATTAACATTCATCATACAACAACAACAACAACGACGACGACGGCATCAACCACAACCACCACAACGACAACAAGAGACAGACACACACACACACACACAAAAGACCAGGGAGAAAAGAAAAGGAAAAAAATAAAGACCAAGAAAGAAAAGAAACGACTCCCAAAGTCTTATATAGAGGCGTAAAATCCAACCAACGAGAGAGAGAGAGAGAGAGAGAGAGAGAAGACTCTTCAGAAAGCAATGACTACAGATCTGGCCATTAATGCCGAATTGCCCACCAGTCCTCTCGCCATGGAATATGTCAACGACTTTGATCTGATGAAATTCGACGTGAAGAAGGAGCCCATGGGAGCCGACCGCTCCGGGAGGCAGTGCACCCGCTTACAGCCCGCGGGCTCCGTGTCCTCCACCCCCATCAGCACCCCCTGCAGCTCCGTGCCCTCCTCGCCCAGCTTCAGCCCCACCGAGCAGAAGACCCACCTGGAGGACCTGTACTGGATGACCAACAACTACCAGCAGCTGAACCCCGAGGCTTTGAGCTTGACTCCCGAGGACGCGGTGGAAGCCCTGATCGGGAGCGCACACGCCGTCCAGCAGCAGCTGCAAGGCTTCGACACCTTCAGGAGCCACCACCACCACCACCATCACCACCACCCCTACCCCGGGGTCAACCCCGAGGAGCTGGGCAACAGCGGCGGGGCTCACCACCCGCACCACGGCCACAGCCACAGCCACCACCAGCACAGCTCCCCAGCCTCGTCTACCTCCTCCTCGGGCTCCCAGCAGATCCAGAGTTCTCCCCATCACCAGGGCCTTCACGCCGAAGACAGGTTCTCGGATGACCAGCTGGTCAGCATGTCGGTCCGGGAACTCAACAGACATCTCAGGGGCTTCTCCAAGGACGAGGTGATCCGCCTGAAGCAGAAGAGGAGAACCTTGAAAAACAGGGGCTATGCGCAGTCGTGCAGGTTCAAGCGGGTCCAGCAGAAGCACCTCCTGGAGAACGAGAAGACCCAACTGATCCAGCAGGTCGACCAGCTCAAGCAAGAGGTGGCCCGGCTGATGAGGGAGCGAGACGCCTACAAACAAAAGTGTGAGAAACTCGCTAGCAATGCTTTCAGAGAGGCTGGATCAACCAGCGACAATCCGCCATCTCCAGAGTTCTTCATGTGAGTCTCTCTCTCTCTCCCCCCAACACCCCCTCCACCACCCACCACCCCCCACCCCAACCCCACGGCTCCCTCTCCACCACCACCACTACCACCCAACCAACCCCCAACACCAACCCCCCCACCACCCAAAAAAAATTCGCCTGCCATCCTTTCATCTATGAACACCTCCACACCACCAACCACCCCACCCCATCCACATGTTTGCTCGAGAAATTGTTAGAGAGAGATGGATGGTAGATAGATAGATATAGATAGATACAGAGAGATAGAGAGAGAGAGAGAGAGAGAGGAGAGAGAGAGAGAGAGAGAGGGGGGGTGGGGAGGGGGGTGGTGGGGGGGGGGGGGAGAATGATTTCCAACATTTCCCATCCATATATTTGCCTGTTTTGGTTGTGTATAAATATATATATATATATGAGAGAGAACCCCCCCCCCCCCCCCCTCCCCTCTCCCCTCACCCCAGAAAACCCTGCATTTAATCAGAAGTAACCCTGCATGCTGGACATGTAATGGTGATGATTTCTATTTTGTACCAAGTTTACTTTTCCCACAAATGGCATGGCGTGGATTTTATTTAGCTTTTTTTTTTGTGGCTTGTTCTTTAGCTTGAAAGTTATCACAGAAATAAGTTCAGAATAGGTTCTCCCCACTCTCCTAACCCCCACCCTCTCTTTCTCTCACTCTCTTTCTCTCCCACCCCCCACCCCACCTCCCCACTCCAGCCCCCCACCTCCCCCCAAAAAAATATATAACAAGCTTGTAAATATCAACTCGAACTGTGTCCCCCCCCCACCCCCCAATTGAATGCACTGAAACCATTTCAAAACACGAACTGTGTGTGTGGTGAGTGTGAGTGAGTGTGAGTTTGTGTGTGTGTGTTTTTAATTAAAAAAAATCCCCCCCCCCCTCAAAAAAATGAAAAGGAAAAAGAGAGAGAGAGAGAGAAAGAGAGGGGAAAAAAAAACTTTTTTTTGCCACCCCACCACCCCTTCACCCCACACTTTTTTTTTACACACACATATATATATAATCCATGGAAATTTAAAACAAAAAGAGAAGTCGAGGGCATTTGCCACTGTATCCATACCAACTTTGTACTCTGGGCGCCTTTTTTTTTAATTGGGGGTTTACTTTTCATTTTGGTTTGTTATTGCTACAGGATTAAAAGAAACGGACAGATGTGGAAATACACAGCTTTGTGATTAAAGGTATAATTTACCTGGCGCTGACACAGGACGGTCGCTGATTTGCTTCAGATTTTGTAGCCCCGAATGAGACTATTGACACTTTTTTTTTTGTGTACAGTATTTTTGTTCCTTCGAATTGTAAAACTGTTTCACCAACAGTGCGAGCAACCACAGCGCATTAGGAAGCTGTATTTGTTTTATAAATGCGGTTATTTTTTTCCTAATTCCATGGCAATTTGGGGGACTGGGGGTCGAGGGAGGGGTGGGGTGGGGGGAATAAGGTCAAACTGTATATTATATTATAAATCCAACGCTTGTTAAATGAATGAGCAGTCATTGCAGTGATACATGTTTAAAAAAAAACTTTTAAAAGATTTGTTGATTCAATTTGAGAGTGAAACTTTTTATTATTATATTATTGGAAGTGTACAAAAGCCAATAATTAGCCAAGCTGGTCGGCTATAAGGTTTTTTTTACACCAATCGTTTGAAAAAAAAATGTACACTTTATTCTAGATAGTGTGGATTTTTTTTTTGTTTTTTTGCCTCTTACAAGAAAGATGACCAAAATGAAAAAAAAAACTCTTCTTTGTAAATTTGCACACTGCTGGGCAGATGCAGAAGGCGTCTTACCTGAGTGGGTTTTATTATTATTATTATTATTAATTGTTATATTAACACAAAATATAACAGAACAACATGACAGCAAATGTGCTTACTTTTTTTAAAAAAAATACTTGTTAAAAGTGATTTTGCAAGATTTGGGAAGGGGAAAAGTGGGGGGTGGGGGGGGGGGGGGGAGAGACTTTGACTGTAGTGAAATAGTGTTGAATTGAACCCTATTCAGATACATCAGGCACAAAAAAAAATATTGTTCCCATAAATTCTGAAGGGATCATGGCAACCGACTTATGGAAAATGAGAATGCGTTTCATTATCTATTCCGATCTGGAGAATTCTAGTGTTATCCAAAAAAAAATAATGGTTTCTTGTCTTCTCTTTTGTTTTTTGTGAAAAATTGTTTTTTTTTTCTATTATGCTTATTAAAGTCATTCAAATGGCATTTATTTTGATGACATGCTTCTCTGATGTCTTTTTTTCTTCTTTACATTCACCTTTTTTTAAAAAAAAGGGGGACAGAGTAGTCAGTTCATTAAGAATAAATTCACATCTGCAAAAAAACAAGTTCACACAGACACGCACACAGACGACACACGCACACGGACACATACAGCCACACGCACACAGGTCACACAGCAGTGCAGTTGCACATAGACAGGTTCAGTCTATGTTCTAACTGTGTGTTTAAAAAAATGTCTAGCGGATTGGTCTGAGCTCCACTCCTCTTGTTATTACCACTCTGGAGTGCTTCCACCCCCAGCTTACACTTGGCACTCAGCATACTGTGTGCCAGATATGTGTGCCAAGAATTATGTTTCAAATCTCACACAAATACCAGATTTATTTTTATTTCATTAGCAAATCATTGTCCTCAATCTGTAACATATTACATGTGTCGTTGTTGGGTAACCAGCACTCATCACAGAACTCTTCATTTTTTTTATATACAATTTTTTTTTTTTTGCTTTTGCACTAGTGGGCAGTTAACTGAGCAAGCATTATTTTAATGATTTTCACCGCTTTCTGTTGTTGCCAGTTCTATTGCATGCTTTAGCTTGGGAAAGCTTGAGAGGAATATTGTTTGTGGGAACTGCCAGAGCATATTAATGTCCCTCTCATGCATGCATTGAATGAAACAGTGGGGCTAATTGAACAACAGTAATAAGAAAAATTGAATGAGAAGCCCTCGGTATGTTTAGCATGCTGCATTTCTGATGAAATACTCTGTGGATGGAAAGTTTTCAGAGATCAGAGTTCGCTTATGTAGGAGGTGTTATTGCCATATCAGTGGCTGTGATGAATTTTAATTTTTCATTATGAAATGGACATTTCCAATGGTTGGGAACAACGATGGGGTTATCCAGTTCAGCCCATAGTTAGTTGAGTGGCAATAAAGCATTGTCTTTTTAATCAAAATTCCAGTGCTAGGGAGAAAAAAAAAGGTAGATTATTTACAGAGTCATTGCATTGCTTTGAGTTTAGTTTTAGTTTTTTTGCGCTGTCATTTCCATTGCCCTGTTTGCAATGATTCCGCATTTCATATACTTTGTGCGATTTCAAGGTTATGCCAAAGAGATTTTATGTACTTTTTTTTTTGCCGTGTTATATTGTAAATTCGATTAAATCCACGGTTTATGGCAGCATTGCGACAGAATCCATTGATTGCCACAGAAATCTGAGAGACAGCAAACAGCTGATGCTTCGAAAAGTGATCATTTAAGTCGGGAGGCTTTCATAGTTTTGGAAAAAATACACATGTGTGTGTGTGTGTATATATATATATAAAATAATAGTGATTTGAACATTAATGACCAGGTAAGTTGTATCGCTTTATCATAAAACAATGTTATATAAATAAATGCACTAGTCTGTAAAACAAGATTCATTCAAATTCAACCACTCCATGCATTAAAAAGCTAACTTTAGCAATGTGCCTTCAGTGTGTAAGCCAGTATTTATGCTGCAGATATTTCTGAACTGCTTTTATAGCCCATAGGTTGTTTGCAGTCGTAAAAGTGAATGATATAGAAAAGTAATCAGGAAAAAAAAATTGACCATCCAGCAGATAAAATATTGAGATCTCTTGTCTAGTGATGGATGAGAGATGTTTGATATTTAACAGGGAGAACCAGTTTCCCCAGAGCTGATGCTGTGTGTGAAAGCTAACTGTTCCCAGCTGTTTCAGGCTTGAGTTTTCAGCACTGTCTGCCTGACTTGCTGTAGAGCGAGAGAGAGAGAGCGGTGGTTCCCAGTGTTTGACACTGAAGGGTCAGGTCTTGGCTTCAGGAGTGTTGGTGTCCAATTACTGATTCGAGATACACACACACACACACACACACACACAGCATCATTCGGCAAAGATAGCATAGCGTAACCTGCTCTGGTGCAAGATATTGGCAGCTGATAGAAAAAGTTAGGAGGGAGAAAAGGTTGAGCATTATATATACATATAGCGATGACTTCTGCTTACAGCAAATTAAAAAAAAAACGTGTTTTAAATTTAATATTAAAAAAATGGCACAGACACCAAACTTGCCAAAAAAACTGCTGCTTTTTGGGGGGTCCATACAGACTCTGTAACAGGAAGCAAAACAAGCGAGTGACACACTCCCCCCACTCACCCGCACCACAAAAACAGCAGAGAAACTGATAGTGCATTAGTGAGCGCTTTGAGGCAGCTTATGTCAATGTTCTTCAGTTCTAACAACAACAACGACTTGCATTTGCACAGCGCCTCTCACATAGAGTAGTGTCTCGGAGCACTTGACAGTGGCCGAGCGTGACAGTGAGCCGAGGGAAAAGGGGGTGGGGGGTATTGGTGGGGAGGGGTGGTGGGAGGTGATCGTAGGCACGGTTGAAGAGGAAGGTCTTCAGGTGCGAGCCGAAGACGGGGAAGCAAAGGGAGCAATATTAAATCAATCGAATATTAAATAAGTATTAAAGTACCAGCCATTTGACTTCAACACACTTATGCAGGTAATAACACTTGTGATAAGAAACGTTGGAGGGAACGCTTTAAAAACAGGTCAACATGATTTTTTTTGAAGCATGTTTAAGCGTCGCTTGGCTGATAAGCAATCCCAAAGTGCCACTCAGGTGGATGATGTCATTCCCATTTGTTTTTTTTTGGCTGGGGGGGGAAATAGCAGTTTAACCTTTTCCAAGTCACAAATATATATATATATATATTTAAATTCAATCACGACGATTCCAGGACAACATGTTATTTTGGGTTGTGATTTTCCCGTTGCTGTTAGCTACCTCTGTCTGAGGTGGAAAAAGAAGGCTACCAGAGTGCCCTTGCATTTTGCGTTCGTGATGTAAATTTAGTGGGATTTCTTTTTTGGGGGGAAGAAAAAGTTTTTTTTAAAAAAAATACAATAATGCCGGCCGAACGGAAATGAACTCGAATTGAAGGCAAACGCTTGAATTGATTATTATTGCTGACACAAAGAGCTTTTCAACCCAGGCAGTTGCGCTCAAAGGAAGGAGGGGGAGGGTTCATGTTTAGGTAATACTGAATTAATATGCATGTAGGATCAGTAAATCTGCATCCCATGAGAGAGAAAAAAANGTACCCTGTTTGGGTGCGCTCACATTGCAGTGTTTTCCAGTCTTTTACACAATCAGCCTCTCGCTGTATCACCGCACACACAACACCACAGTCAGGCTACTATCCTTCGGGCCGCAAGCAAAAGGCAGTTTCAGGACAGACAACGGAAAGTATTTCTCTACCTAGAGGGTAATTAGCAACTTGAACGGATTACCAGCAAGCGTCAGTGAAGCCGGGACACTGAGAACTCATTTCGAAGGCAGCTTGAAACGCTGCGATGTGAGGGTGTGTATTTTAGAAGGATAATAAGGACTGAAGGGGCCTTCTTTATCTGAACCTCTTTGGAAAAAGACAGCAGTTATGCTGGGATTAGGGATGGAAGAATGAAGAGCTCCCAGCCACGACTTTCTAGCAAGGTGCTGTCGTTGGTTTCATTTATAAAATAGTAAATAAATAGCAATCGCTTTGGTTTGATGTGAACGGACACTTGCTATATCACTGGGATGCAACGATCTGATATATAAAACAAAATTTGGTCACTCAATCCATGACTGTTTGTGGGACGCTGCTGTGCGTAATTAATTGGCTGCCGCGTCTCGCCCACAAAACACACAGTCAATTCACCTTACAGTATATTCTGTGAAGCGCTTTGAGACGTCTCGAAGACGTGATCAGGCTCTCTATCAAATACCAGGCTTACTAGTATTATTATTATTATTAATCATCTGTGAATTTTTCATGGTAGAAATTCAGCACATCGGCAAATGAACAGTAAGATGATCGTTCACTACAATGTGGCGAACGGCAGCAAGTTGCCACCCCCCCCCCCCACTCCCCTTCCCTACCCCCCGCACAACTCTCCGTGTCTAATTAACCAGAGCTTCAGCTTGCACAGCCAGCTTAGTTGCTCATACATTCTGCAGGGCTTAGATAACAGGAAGAATTAAGGGGGTAACAGTTTGCTAACTACAGTGGTTGTGTCTGCTCTATTGGTGAATTCGGTGCCACAGTCTCCACCCAAACAGTCAGTCACTTGAATGGTAGCCTGCGATAGTCCTGCTGCTACAGACAGAAATCTTTCTGACAATTTTTCCGCACCTTTTTTTAAAAAATTGCAATATCATGTCAGTTACTTATACCCGTGTAACCGCGAAGAGCAGCTGCTTCAATCGGTTCATATCAACCGATGAATGATATTCGGCATCACTTAAGGCTGTCCGGTGTTGCCTATGGTGTGGGTGGCTGCTTTCTTTTCTTTTTTAAAAAATATTAGATTTTTTTAAAAAACAAACAAACTAAACAGACTGTCAAGTAAAAACCCGCCGTCGAGTAAGCCTTCGATACGGCGCAAGTCATCTATCTGGTGTTCCGATTCACAGTCTAGTCCTTCAAGAGATGGCATGTTCCCATCTATCAGGCCATTCTGGGCTCAATAAACCTCCTTCGATTCCTCAGAGAGAGAGAGAGAGAGAGAGAAACAATTGGTCTCATCCTAAACTGGACAAACATACTCGTTGATGCAAAATTGAACTCTATGCCCCCAGTTTTCACACCAATTTTATGGCAGAAACAGCAGCTCGAACCCGATACTAATTTTTTTAATGAAATTGAACTAAAAGCAGTGGACTGCTCGTTTCTCGCTCTCTGTTTCCGATTTTCGCCGTTCACGTTTCTTCCTTTATAGATTCAAGATTGCTAATGAGATTTTCTTTTTTAATGGGCCGACAAGTTCTGCTTTCTTTTACAGTCATCGGGGAATAGAATAAAATCTGACCAAACATATTAATCTGACTCAGCGACAGTGGGTGCAATCAGTGCTCTGACATATCATTTCAGCACAGTCCTTGGCTGTTTTTAGTGACGTGAGTGTTAGTGAAGAGGCTCTGGCTACGGGGAATGCCTTGTCTCGTCTCGGGGTAAACTGTGGGAAGTAAAAAAACAACAGGCGTAAGTTCATAACACTGTAGTCTTACAACCGAGAGACTTAAGATGGCGGAGGATGAGGAGGAGGAAGAAAAGGGAATAACATTGTCTGAAGCAATTTCCTAAAGTTGAAAATGAAGTGTCCAAATTCTAAACGGGTTTTAATGAGATAATAATGAATGAATGGACCGGTGCAAAAGCAACCGGAATATAAACCTTTTAGTTCAGATCAATCTGAAATGTGCTCGAGTGCGTTAATTCACCTCTGCTTCAGAGAGAGTAAAGGGAAAAGGACATTCAGGGCAAATCCAATTTTATTTCATAAATTGGAATATTTGATGTGATGTAAAAATTAACTCGCTCCAGTAAGTAATGGAGAGAATGCTTACTTCCAGTCTCACAAAATATAGGATATAATAATAATAATAATTCTTGTGTTTGATATTGTGCCTTTCATGTCAGGAGGACGTCTCAAAGTGCTTCATGAGATATACTGTCAAGTGTAGTGACGGTGTATTTTGTAGGCAAATAAATGTATTGCCAATTGGGAATCGTTAACATGTTCAGAAACACGCTGGAGTCTAACTACTGAGAAAGTCAAAAAAGCAGAGGTTTGATTGCCAGTTCTGTATAGGAGAAGTGCTCAGGGGAGGGAAGGGAAGGAGAGATGATATATTTTGCTCGTAGCCAGAGAAGACAAGTCAGGGTTGGCAGAATCCAAGGCATTAGCAGTTTATATAATAAATAATAATAACAATAATCCTTGCATTTGATGCAGTGCCTCATCACGTCTTCGAGACGTCTCAAAGCGCTTCACGGGATACACTGTAAAGTGAATTGTCTGTATATTTTGTGGGTCAAAACGCCCAATATCTTACGTTTATGCAGAGACCTGATATGATTCCTATTACACGTCCAGCCACTCTAACCATTAGGGTGTTGGTTTACCATTCCGAGCCCCATTGATGCACCAGGCAAGCTGGCAAATCATCAGCATTGTTTTGGATTACTGGGGGCTCAGCTCAGTAATTTGAATGTTGAATCTGTTCCCCAGCGAGTGGCTTTAGCTCTGCCCTCCCTTCGCTAGGCATGTTTGTCAGCAGGGAGTCAGTGTGTTGCAAAGACAGACACCCGTTTACCTCTCTCTAACGTTGGTCGTTATCTCACAAATAATGATAATTTGGTCACTTCAATGCACGGCTGTTTGTGGGGACGCTGTTGTGTGCAATTGGCTGCCGCGTTCCACCCACAAACTTCACAGTTAATTCACTTTATGATATATTCTGTGAAACGTTTTGAGACGTCTCGAAGACATGATAAGGCGGTATATCAAATGCCAGGATTATTGTTATAAAACCAAGTGGCCTGACTAGTTCTAATAGCATAAGGGACACATGTTAATCAAACAAAAAATGGCCCAGACTGATCGCATAGCTGTCTTTCCTCACTCCTCAAAGTGAAAAAATGTCCCACAATGAATTTCCCCCAAAAAAATTCAACACCAACAACACTGCCCACAAAACACAGTCACTACACTTTACATGCGTGTCCTGCGAAGCACTTTGAGACGTCTCGAAAACTTGATAAGGAACTCTATCAAACGCAAGGATTATTGTTATTATTTATGTAGAGCCCTTCATGCTTACAAAGAACGTACAGCACGGAAACAGGCCACTGGGCCCAACCCAGTCTGGGCTCCTGTTCATACTCTAAAAATTCCAATGATAGGACGGTGAAAACTAAACCCATCAGATACATGCAACGGCTGTTATTTGTGAAGTACTGGGCTCTATTCATGAGCTCCCTCAGCATATTTGTCTTAACTGATCGATTATTCCCAGAAGTTAATGATATTTATGTATCGATTCATCAATCGATATATTCCATTCTCCATTTATTCGTGACATTGCCTTCATTCAAGTGCAGAAGGATTATCTGTAAGTAAATGTAATCTACCTTTGATTTTGTATCTTACATTTACACAGATACCCAATGAAATTCAACAGAAAGCAACCAGCTCGCTCCTCGCCTCACACAAGGTAAACTCTTCTTTCTTTTGGAATCAGATAATAAAGTGTGATAACTTCAGCGTTTGTCTGATCAGGGTAAGGATTGAGTTCTGTACAGAAAATACAGCAACAGCAGCAACAACAACAAGAAAAAAAACAGCTCATGTGTGGGAGGGTTAACCATGCAGCCTTTCAGGTTCTCACAGGGCAAAGGGCTCTGACGAGATCTTACTGCAGATGAGCTGATTCTAGCTAGTGAGAAGTGTCCTGTATTATAATTATTATGATAATAATAATGATAAACCTTGCGTTTGATATAGCCATTCACCACGTCTTCGAGACGTCTCAAAGTGCCTCACGGGATACACTGTAAAACGCCGTGACTGTATTTTTGTGGGCGAGAAATGAAACAAACACATGAATAAAAACACAAAACACATCACGTAGGCTGAATACTGTTTTACAAGCAAACAATTTCCATTTACAGCGATTGATACAGAAGGTGAGAGGAGCCTGTATAAGTATAATATTCTTATGGATTTAACAAGCGATGACATAGATTTGCATAGAAAATTTGCAGCACTGAAACGGGCCATTCACTCCCAACTCTCCCGTACTGCTGTTTATAACTCCCCGCCCCCTCCCGTTACCCCTCTAGCCCCTTTCTCACTCGCTCGTGCCATCAAGTTTCCTCTCAAACGATAAATAAACAAGCCCCGTGTTGGATACAAGGCCTTTCAAGTCGGGAGGACTGGCGTCTCAAAGCGCTTCACTATTTAACTATCCACCTTATCAAATCCCTTCACAATTCGACAGACTAAAAATCCTTAGAACGAGTGTGGATCTCTGCCCGTCCAGCGCCTTGGGATGCCTTTCTGACGCGAAAGACGCTCTACTATCATAATGCGTCGTCGTCGACATCGTCGTCGTTGTTGTTGTTGCAGTAGAACGGTTTAGAAAGGCGCCTCGGGATGAGAAAGATTGCGTCTCGGCGCTCGCCAGTCCGGCACATTGCACCCGTCTGGCTCGCCGTAGATGGATGATACGGCACCTGCTGACGGGTTAATCTTTTAAAGAAACGGGACCCACCATTCCCCCCCCCCCGAGCACGGGTAGTTTGCAAGCACAGAAGCTCTTTGATTCTCGGCGGGTGAGTGAGCCTGGCCATTCCGACCGCCTGATTCAGCAGCGCTCCACAAAGATCATTTTTATCCCCTTTTTTTAAAAAAAAGTGCCAGTCACGAGCAGTCATTGCATAACGGCACAAAAGTTCTCGTTCATTGAGTGGAGATAGAATTCATTCACCAGCAGGTCACTACTCACTGTAATTGTATGAAGTTTCTCCCCCCCCCACCACCCCGCCCCCCCACTTCTTCAATAAGGCTTATTCACCGTGTAAGTCCATTTTTATACTGTCCTCAAAGCGCAAGTCACGGGCAATTGTTGTAGAGTTATATTAAAATGATTGTTCATTCAGGGAGATGGAATTCATTTAGCAGCAGGTTACTTACTGGGTAATTACTGTGTATAGCGCTCTCCTTTATTCAGCAGGCTAGGGGTCGTAACTGGGTTGAGCTTTTATTTATTCAGCAAGCTACGGGCTAAGACCTGAGTGCTGAATTTTAAATGACGCAAAATTTATGGCGGGTAATAATAATAATAATAATAATGATACGTATATTTGACACAGCGCCTTTGAGACGTCTCAAAGCGCTTCACGGAAATATACCGTAAAGTGAATTGACTGCGTGTATTTCGTGGGTGAAACGCGACAGCCAATTGCGCACAGCAGCGTCCCACAGACAGCCGTGGATTATTACGAGTGTCCAAATTATTATTATTAGTTTATATTTTTTATAAATATCCGATGTCGACCACGACAAACCGATTTGCCTAACATCATCATCGCCACAAGCTAATGCAGAATTAGTGTTGGTGGTAAGAGCTTTCCGAGACCATCTTCAAAGTAAAGCGTTGTAGCTGCCTTGATCAGAAATGCTGGAACGCTCTAAAATAAACTGGGTGACTCAGATTACAACAAATGTAGGCACAGTGCATTCCAGAACCTGGGCAATTTGCTGTCGCTAATTTCCATTTCCCTTCATTGAAGCAGGACAACCAGCCTCGCTGTTTAGTTTGCCAGAACCTGAAGCAAAAAAAATATAGAACTGTGAATGTTGTCCGATTTCACCATAAAATTCAATCCTTCCCTCTTGCGTTTAATTCAAATAAATTCATGAGCTTTTCTACATTCCGTTTATTTTACAAGCAGAGCTACAGATCCCCTTCGGTGGGCAACAGCATCTCTGGCTAAATAATTTGGAGGAGGATAAGGAATAGCAGGTCTTTCACAGCTTTAACCCGATCAGGACTACTGCTGGTGTATTTCAGCTGCAAAACTAAAATAGAGCAAAGGTGCTTTTATTTGGTGCGTTGGCCCACAAAATACACTTTACCGTATATTCTGCGAAGTGTTGAGAGTTGTCTCGAAGACTTGGTAAGGCGCTATATCAAATGCAAGATTTTTTTTACTATTATTATTTTATTTTCCAGCTTATTTTCTGTCTGTTAAACACAGCGAGTGGAAGCAGTTTGCTTGTTTCTGCGCCTCGTGACAATTCTGCTTTATCGCTAGAAATCTGCAGAACACTCTTTTTAGATTTCTGAGATAAGAGAGGGAAGCAAAATTAACACGACTTTGGGGGCATTTTTTTCCAAGTGTCGGCAATGTTTCCGATGATCTGATTACACCTGGAAGTTGTAGTGATATCCACTTTGAATTGATTGCCTATGATGAGGTGAAAAGCACCACTTTCTCCCACAACACAGAGTCAATTCGCTTTACAATATATTCTGTGAAGCGCTTTGAGACGTCTCAACAAGGTAATAATGCGCTATATCAAATGCAAGGATTATTGTTATGATATTATTATTATTATGGTTTACAATGTTGTAGCAGATTTGCAAACCTACAGAAAAATACTAACGGACACATCCCATCACCTTTGATGCAATGGCCTTTTTTTTTGCGCATCATTACTGACCTCTTGTTCTGAGGTTTCTAATCGGCAGGACTCGAGTGGCATTTGTTCTTATGTGGAATTCAGGTGCTTAAACTGAGACACTCACAGCTCCACGGCGACTGACCAGTTTGCTGAAAGGTGCGGAGAGGGCAGTGGGTCACGCCACAGGGCCGCTCTTTCTGTCTGCACAAACTGCAGCGTCGCAAAGCATTTGTAAATTGCAAATTGTTAGCCCTAATGTTGAACAATTTGTTAAAGAGCCAAATAGCTGATACTTGGAAAGCATTATGGAACAGACTCCCCAGGGAGACAGACGGTGGAAGCAGAAAATGGCGTTTGTTTCAAGAACAAATGAGATAGATTTCTGTTAGAAAGTAATATCTGGGGTGGGGGGGAGGGGTACAGTGTATGGTCGACATGTCAAGCGACTGTCAGGATGGTGAAGGCGAACCAGATGGACTTCTTGGTCTTCTTTCTCCAGCAAATTCTTATGCTCGTATGTTCATTGCCCGTTGTGAGGAACACAGATTCAGATACACGCTGTAACATAGAGCACAAAGCAGTGAGGAGTGTTTTTACAAAGGTATGGATATTCCGCCCCCACCCCATTCCACCCCCAGCCCTTCCCACCTCCCCTTTTTTTCTGACTTTTTTTTAAAAAAGAAGAGCTGCAAAAAGAATTCTGTTTGCCTAACGTTCTTTGCGCTGATTTCGCCGATCTGTTTCATTTTTTGGGCCGTTTGATTTAAATCTCTGCTGACATTTTTCGGCCAAACTGGTTTGGTAGATTTGCTTAGCTTGAGAGTACGAGGGAGTCTGACAGCTGAGTGCCACCAGTTAATGACTGTCCCACCAGATGCAAACTGCTGGGTTTTCGTAACTCTTTTGACGCAGTTTCCTCTGTCATGCTAAACACTTGCTGTGAAATTAAAAGTCCCGCCCAAGGCAAATAAACACAAAAAGGCGTTAAACCCACGATAATTCTTTGTGGCAATTCCACTTTAAGTAGCGATTTTAAGTAAACACTCAATCTTTAAAATGTGTTGCCATTTGTCATTCCCAACTTCTATATCAGTGGTTAGAAGCATTCTCTCTTTTTCCACCAGTACAGAGGGCACTGGGTGAGTCAATGGCAGACAGACAGACAGGCGCAACCAAAACAGCCATTTGGAGAATTAATATCAGTTGAGGAGCGACCGAAAGAGTTAATGGATCCATTTTACTGAGTGCATTCGGTTGCTAACTGTAAAATAATCGCTGGATTTGGCTGCTGATGTGCATGCAGGTGCAGTTTTGGGGGGCATTTCAAGTGTAGTGTGCTACAATGTGTACGGCTATCTCTGCGTCAATAATCCCACTGTTATGTATATTGTGAGGAAAGACAGTCTTGGCATATCAATTTACCAGTGCTGCATTGTAAGTCATCCGAAAGAGCTGCTCTTGTCACTTCTCACAGATGGGTGTGAAAGTGCTTGGAGCAGATTAGATGGTTGCTTCAAAGCCTCCCGGCTTTACAGGGGCTGCACTGTGCAAGGACACCAAGATGCAGTTACTTTATAAGGCTTTTTTTGTGGCATGACTAAGCCTAGTTACCATACGAGAATCTTCTGCTCTGTTTCTCCACTGTTTATCGCACCTGGACATTATATCCACCTCCACTGGGCACTGACAGATTTCCACGTTTGTCATAAACCCCCAAATATAACTGGGAGGATATCTTATTAAAGAAGTGTCCGTAGGATTCTCGGAGGTTTTGCAAAAGTAAATCCTCCTTTGTGGACTCTTACAGTCCAGGCCTCAAATCCTATACGATCTGACTGTCAAGAGGACAAGTAGAAAAAGACAGTGGATTCCTGTGATAAACAATTTCCACTCATGGAATACATACACCTCCCAGCACTGAGTGTAAGAAAACTCCTGAATGAAGCATCACAGCTTGTAATGACACAAACATTTTTAGCCGATTTTTTTTCCGAGTGCGTGCATGTGGCTTAAATAAAACCTGAA